CAGTCTCCTTTCGTTGTATAGAGGTTGTTTGACCTTGTTTTCGCAACTTGGTCATATTGGTAAGAAGACTTAGAGGAATTCACATAGTCCAGAATCCATTGTGTGCATGATCATTTCCAAAGTAGGATCGTGAACGTGGTACATTCCCAGACGTTTAGCCAGCATCGTCAGTGTATCTCGCCATTCGTAGCACCGCACAACAACTCGTTAAAGAGACAAGTGAAGCCGATCCTTTGACCAAACGTGTGCTAAACAGTTGTGGTATCTCCCCTTCTGCCTTGGGCTATTCGCCTTTCCTATATCCTCCTTTCACGCCTTTTCTGTCACAATTTTCGCCGTGCTTATTTTGATGCAGTGTGGTATACTCCTTCGAGCGGCATATGTGAAAACCCTTAACACTCCACGCTGTCGTTCTCACCTCCTTCACCCTTGTGCTGGGAATGTCGACCAGATTCTGTAATATTGTTAAGTAGTCCTTCCCTAGGTCCTATCAGAGTCTCCCTCTTGCCCCGTAGAATCCGTCTGCTATCTTCCTGGTAGACGTATTACACTCGACTCCTGTCTCCCCATCTGTGCCACTCGATGCGTTATTCGGCCACCCCTGCGTCTGGGTGACTAATTTAAGGCTAAAGCTAAGTATTATGGTCATACCTTTGCTACATGGACCACGTCTCTTGTAAACTCTACTGTCAGCCAACTAGCTCCAATCGCCGCTTCGTCTATCCTGTCTCTATCCCTAATACCAAGTCTATGACTTGCCATGCCGTAGTCTCTTGTGTGCCAACCCACAAATGTTGTGGCACCGCTTGCTTTGATTAGGTTTGTGTATTTTCGGGAATCCGTAGGCTGATGAAGAATTCAACATCCAGCTATCGAGTTATCCATATGCATGCATTCCTTACAGTGTGCCCTGTAGTTTTACATTAGTTTCTAATGCTGAATCTTGCCTTAGTAACCGATAGATCTTTCTATCTCACAGTATACTCTAAGCTTTTTCCACGTTTTATTTCCTTCCCATTATTGCTGCCAATTTCCCCGAAGTACTATCCGGTCATTCCCTCGTAAAGTTTTGTTTGCCCTATTTAATTTGCTTCTAATTGTGTGTCTTTGATGCACCAAACAGTTTGGGATTTTTCTATCTTCTTTCCTGTTTTGTTGCTTCCAGAGGCTTGTCAGAGATATTTATAACCTCACAAGAATTATTATGATAACTTAATTTTCATTCTTGAAGAAAATTAAACCCGTTATTCATAAACTTAGTTCGGAGTAAAGATGGATTGGGAGTAAATGTAGTCATTTTTATATGAATGTGGTCAATTTGGAAATCATGTGGGCCGGGTGGGTTGGTTTGATGTTGTGTTGTCTTTTAGTACCATATCTCGACAATTGTTTGATACAACTACTACTTATAGGGTAAGAAATCCTTTATAACGTCTTGTTAGTCATAAGCAGGAATTGTAGAAAATTTTCGTGGGTTTGAATTCTGGCTAGATCCCGCATGATTTGTGACATGGTATATATGAATTTAAATAAAGTATTTTCACTACTTTCGTCAAAGTTTGGATTGGAGACATAGAAAAAAATTTTATTAACCATGTCAGAATGGCAATACTTCATTAGGTTTCAGAATTTAAGGGTGGTACCATAACGTTATCAACGATTTAAAAAAGTCGTGGTATGACTTTATACAAATGTTTTTTTGTTCTGCTGCAATCAGTAAATTGTTAAAAAATCTTTACTCCGTAGTTTAATTGCAGGCATGAATACCACGATAGTGCGATCTCTATTTTGGTCACAGTTTGTTTACGCCGTAGAGTAATGGTCTAATTTTATTTTGGCAACTTGATTGTGGTGTAATGGAGGCCTCAAATAACGTAGTTCATCTGGATTCCTCTGCCATAGTATTCATTATAATTCCCAGCAGCAGGTCATGGACTTGATACACTCCCGGACGTCGACGCCGTCAGTGAAATTTGCGAATATGAACGCTGACACCACTACCAAATCATCAGATCAAGGTCAGGCCAGTAATAAGATAAAATGAAAGCTACAACCAAACTAGAGGCCACACTATCTTGGCCCCCATACATTCGAATAGGGATTTTAGTTTAGGCGGTATTTAAATTTTACAATCTCTCTCAATTTATAGCTGATTTATCCCCAATAGAGTTTGTAGTCTTTTGACTAGAGAAAGTCGTTTAGCGTAGCTGCAAACTGAGAGAAACTTAGAAGAGACAATTATCTAAACAGGCGTAGTTCTTAAAAGGACTATATATTAATTTAAAATATAAGATTAGCTGACGTGCTACATGTCAGTGACAAAATAAGCTAGTACTGCATTTTTAAAAATAATATAGTATGGCAATTCCAAATCAATTATCTACACGAATTTAAGGTTAATTAAGAGGCGCTTAGTCACCCTTGAAACCATTTTGAACAAATTCAGATGACACATTTTAAATATATTCCATTTACTAAGGAGCAAACAACACAATGTCCTAATAAATGAAGTAATATTGTTTAAATCGGAAGTTAGTTTCACAATTTGAGCGACGAAGTTTAAAAGAATAGCAAGCCCTTCAGCGCCTATAAAACCACAACTGACCTTTCGTTTTTCCGTAGGCCTTAGCTTAAAAAGGTCGTCGTCTATGGCTGAGCCACACCACCCAGTTAGCTGCCCGGGTGAAGAATTTATCTTTGAGCATGCTGATGAATTTTCGCGGGCCGAAATATCACTAGATGAGTTCATTTGAGAACCTCCTAGTGTTTTCAAGTTCACAAGTGATCGAGAGAAATCATAGTCGCGTTTTCGCAATTTAGTCTGCACTGTCTTGTCTAGATAATTGGAGGCATCGGTTTGACTGAATGGAGTAGGAACATCTGCAATACTTTCTTTTATGTTAGGTATTTCTGACTGTTTATTTGATAGGTTTCGATGACCGTGGCTAGCCCAAAGGCATAATAAGCCAGCAGGACAACGCCCCAATGAGGTGAGAATAGGGCATTCACCTGGAATATCGGCCTGTTTGGCCTGAATAGCGGCAGCTAAGTCGTGACTATAGCGACACTGACCAGAGTAGGGACAGACAAGTGGCTCTGAGCGAACAGGTGGTGGATAAGCTGCATAGACGAACAAAAAAGGATAAAATGTAAAATATGCTAAAAAAATTAAGTGCATGCTATAACTGCAAATAATAAGAATTTTAACGATATTTTGAACAATTATAAATGGCGAATTAAGAGTAAAAATTGAAACTTATAGGATAAATAATGTGACCATTTATTTGATAACATAGAAATAACTACGGCCATCATATGCTCAAGATGCTTGAAATTGTATTTACATCACCTCTGGCCTTAACAAAAGTTGTAAACGAATATAAAAGCTTCGAAAACATTATATTATTATCCAATAAAGTTATACTTAGTGGGCTAGTGTAGAATAAGAACTGAGAGTTAAGCTTCCCACAGTCAAGTCGAAAGCAAACCTATCGTTTTTATTTTGTTTAATAATTTTTCATGAATCGAAGGTCTGAAGGCGAAGATGGTAGGGCTCTTAGCATGGTCGGGGTCTCCTTTCGTTGTATAGAACTTGTTTCTGTAACTTGATCATGTTAGCAAGAAAACTAAGAGGAACGCACCTTGTCCTGAGTCCATAGTAGACATGTTAATATCCAATCGGACGGTGAACTTCGTACATTCCCAGGCGTTTCGCCAGCATCTAAATCAGTATCGTTAATGAGTCTTGCCATTCTTGGTATCACACTCTAACTCGTCAGAGAAAAGTGAAGCCAAACCTCTGACCAATTGTCTGCCAGTTGCGATATTTCTCATGTCCTGATGTATTCACCTTAAATATATACTCATAACACCCATTCACTATCACAATTACTTGCCTATTTAAACCAAGTTGTGAGCCTTTTTGAACGGATTTAGTGAGACCTATATACACTCCCAACTAGTTCCCACATCTCCCATTGTGTTGATTTAAGACTATAGTTTAATCCTCTAGGTCCTATCAGAGCCTCCCTCTTTCCCTCACTGACGATGCCGGTGAAATATCT